GGGATACGTCCCAATGGTCGCTGACAGCGTTCCGCACTACGGGATACGTCCCAATGGTCGCTGACAGCGTTCCGCACTACGGAACACGTCCCAATGACCGCTGAAAGCGTTCCGCGTTACAGAACACGTACCAATGGTCGCTGACAGCGTTCCGCACTACGGGATACGTCCCAATGGTCGCTGACAGCGTTCCGCACTACGAAACACGTCCCAATGACCGCTGACAGCGTTCCGCATTACAGAACACGTACCCGTGAATGGTCGCTGACAGCGTTCCGCACTACGGGATACGTCCCAATTGTCGCTGACAGCGTTCCGCACTACGGGATACGTCCCAATGGTCGCTGACAGCGTTCCGCACTACGGGATACGTCCCAATGGTCGCTGACAGCGTTCCGCATTACAGAACACGTCCCAATGGTCGCTGACAGCGTTTCGCACTACGGAACACGTCCCAATGGTCGCTTATAAATTAATAAACGCTGCTCGGACTGATAAATATAATATATAGAAGATAATATTTGGTAATCGTAGTCCTAAATGGTCGCTGCTAGCGTTGCGCACTACGGGATACGTCCCAATGGTCGCTGGCAGCGTTCCGCGCTACGGGATACGTCCCAATGGTCGCTGACAGCGTTCCGCACTACGGGACACGTCCCAATGGTCGCTGCTAGCGTTGCGCACTACGGAACACGTCCCAATGGTCGCTGACAGCGTTCCGCACTACGGAACACGTCCCAATGGTCGCTGACAGCGTTCCGCACTACGGGATACGTCCAAATGGCCGCTGACAGCGTTCCGCATTACAGAACACGTCTAAATGATCACTGACAACGTTCCGCACTACGCGACACGATCCGAAGTAGATAACAATTATCTTTTAATTATTAATGATAATGATTATTATTTGAAAAATATTGAATATCCCACTTGAGCTACTAGTATTTCGCGTGGCACAGTATGCCATAATGACGGATGGAATGATATAATCCTATGATCGCATAAAGCAGTCACGTGAAAACAGCACACAATTTTTGTGGATTAAATTAGTTAAGGTAGAAGCCTACTCATCATTTTTGAGAAAGTTGGTCATATATTTATGACCAACTTTCATTTATGACCAACTTTCACCAGCATTGGTCTATTATGTAAAATCATGGAGCTATCATCCCATGGCCAATGGCACCATTTTAGAACAATTCCATTGAACACAATGTTTAAGAAAAATTGCATTCTGTGACACTTTTCAAAATCCAGATTTTAAAAGTATTTTAGGAAAGCAAGTGTATCCCTTAAATACAATATAGCTGTAGGAACCTATGGTAAAAGCGTTATAAATCTGATAAAATGGCCACTATCCACTAAAATGCTACCATTATTTTCTCGAAAATATCTTTATATTTCTCGGGAGTACTATTCTTTTCAAAATGAATAAATTATGGGTATTTGCATTTATGATTAATGAGGTTCACGCCTAATTGAAGATTATATGTCATGTTTACTAGGATTTCATTATTATGGGTTCATACCATCAGGATACCCCAAAAAATGGGGTTAGGATTATTGCTTCTTATCTCAAAATTGTATTTGGTGACATGGGATAAAATAATCATATATTGGTATTGGTAATATTATGATAATATTTTTTAAAAAATGGTATATAATAATATCTCCTATAATCTATTGCGTATATGTGCAGTAACTCAGTATTGTAACATACAAGTTCGGCTCAAACTGCCCCAATTGTATTGCCATAGATGTATAACATTGAATCACGGCTTAAAATAGCAAAAAAAATGTTCACTCAGTTCAGTGAGTAAGCAATCATAAATAGACGTTGTGTCGCGCACATCCAGTTTATTGCCGATCGATTCATAAACACTTTATTCAGTGAGTAAGCATATGTTCATACACAGGATAATATTCTAGTTTGAGATTATTTCTTCATACTTGTATTTTTAAACAACAATAGTTAGGTTAACCCCAATGGTATAATCAAAATGGTGTACTCACAGTGGCATAATCAATGTGGTGTAATCTGAGTGGTATAATCAAAGTGGTGTAATTACAGTGGTATAATCACAGTGGCATAATCACAGAAGCATAATCAATGTGATGTAATCTCAGTGGAATAATCAAAGTAGTGTAATGAAAGTGGTATAATCAAAGTGGTATAATCACAGCGGTATAATTACAGTAATATATTCATGTTGATATCACAGAGGTGAGTGGTTCGGAGGGTATAACATCCATGCATGCCTACGTGACGTCACATCTATATATGAGTTTGTAGCGAGAAACAAGAAAGGCAGAATTCTGTTTCTGATATGTTAATGTGACTTCATATTACTCTCAGGCAATTATAGTTGCTAGGACAACGACATGTGACCATATTCATCAATGACTATGTGTTATTCTCAAATAGCTATAGTTACTACAACAGCGATATGTAGCCATGTTAGTGCTGACATATCACATTGTAAAAAATAAGCATTTCAGACTTCTGGTTTATACATTTGTCAGCAACTAAATAATCGAGCCTTCTGATTAGTCGACGTCGTCATGGAAATAACAATTAACTCTGTAGATCACGCATGACGGCTCGTACTATAAATTCAATCCTTTTTTTCTATGCTGGTCATAGTCTCATTTTTTTTTGGTTCAAGAATATCCCTGGAACAGTTATGGCGAACGAAATCTCTATTCCATTATATCATGTCACGCACGTATACGTAGTCACACAGTTAATAATCTAGCTGACAATAGATGCAACAGTTATAGTACCCGGCACGTCCATCAGGAAGGACAAATAAATAATTTGTTCTAGCTACTTACACAATAAAAGTTATATTTTGTTTGGTATAAAAATACAGTGCAAAGACTTCGTTGTGACAATACTTTAAAAACAAACACAGGGGACTGAAATCGGCGATTACCGTATTTCCCCCAGCGTGCCAGCCCGACTCAAGTAGTCGCGACGACAACTCACTTCACCCGTGCACCGCGACATCGTCGTTATTGGGGCGCGCATGCTCTGACCTTCTCGACGCTGTAATGATGCAATCAATAACAGTATTATCACAATCACATTTACGCGTGAAATGCAAATATTATTGCTACATTTCGTAAACCTTGGCGTCGCCGCGAATGGCTGACGCTATTGTTTCGACATAGTAACACCCAGTGTTAGATGAAGGGTAATGTTACACCGTTTCCATGATGACTAATTGTCCAAATTATCCGACTGCTCATGGGTCGGTGCAAATGCCGGAGCGTTTCAATCACAAATGTAACAGTGATACACACAGAGTAAGTAAACACGTGGGAAGGCTTTCTTCAAGCCAACTGTGTCAAATTTCTCTCTCTTCGATACTGTCAATTTGACACGAAACAAATTAAAATACAGACTAAATACAGACTAACGTTTGGTATGTAATAATGTAAAAGAGATCCTCTGTGTGTGTTTTATAAATATATTTTTCTTCCTTTTTGTAGATTTTTTCAAAATTTTTCATTTTGTCGTTTTTAACCACGTCTACCATTTCCCCTAGAGTTTCTAATTGTGAAAGATACTCACAATGCTACAAACCATTGACACGGCACCATTTACAAAAGTGAAGCACAACTTGAATGCTACAACTAATGGCATGCAATTTACGGAAGTGACGTACTCATTTTTCAACCCAATGACAATCCTGGGCAACAAGGGTCACGTGCCATCATGTTCCACTGTTGCCTGTATATATTCATAGATTTTTTGCGATCAAAAACTAATTCACAAGAGATGTTGAATTGTTTTCGTAATTCTATGTCCGTAACTCGAACAATTCAGCATCTCGTTTCACAAAGTAGCATTCATAATAGAGAAAATAAAACTATAGCAAATTGAAATGAAGCATTGCATCATGGATGTTTTCTAGTTAATTGCTTAGAAACTTTAAATTGAGTGGCTTTGCCACTTTAAATTTGTGTGATAAGTATTCCAATATTTCATTCTAAAGCCCATTATTTTTAGTATATACATCATGTGTTATTGAAATACTAATGGAACAGATAAAAATATGCCAATTGTTATGCAACTTAGGTAATTAATATGCAACCAAAATATGTGACCAATTTTATTGATTTTCATGGATCGTGTTTTTTGTCTCAAAGACACACGCCTGTAAATCCATACAACTTTTTTCAAATAAATTAAGAAATAAATGAATAGCCTTACATCTCCTTTTCTGGCTAAAATAATTTACCTGAAGCAAGTGTATATGTGTTAGGATATGCATGGAGGTACTAACATTAGTACATGTACCTCTATGGGATATGCAGCACGGGTTTGAAATTACCCGGATACACTTGCGCCCGCTAGTTGGCGCAATAATAAAGATGGCGGCGCCCAATGTAAACGTGCCTGCAGACGCACCTGAACGTACGTAGCAAACATTTCTTATTTTTTCGTGCAGTATTTCTTGCCAACTTCATGTGCACGCATTATATATTCGTCTTTGAATCGAAAACCGTGCGATGTGCCAATGACGCGAAAACGTGATACGGTTGGCTCGATACAACAAGAATGACGATCTGACTCGGACTGCACTACACTCGCAGTTCTGAGTTCTGTTTAATAGCTCTTTGGGTTGCTGTAGTTTGTTTTTATTGTCGGTAGGAATATTTGACGGAGGAAATTATTAGAACTAAACAAACAAAATAATAATAAATGTAATAAACAGTACAGTAGGTTATTCTAGTGTTGTAAAGGTAAAAATCCGAAAAAGAGGTGACACGGTTTGCATATGTAACAAACATACCAGCACTTCATTAACCAGTTTACTAATTAAACAGTAACTCTATGGTGAATAAAACCTCAGACAACTGTTATATTAGATAAAACAGTGTAATAATTCTACGGGCAATAACAAATCGTACTGCAGCGAAACCCAGGGCTACAGACTTGCAGCAAGAGTCTTCTTGCTTTACTTGAGGGTCTGATCATTAGAAATTCAGGTGGGGATATATAGGGCCTCGGCGATGTTCTGCTAAATGGGTTACTTTTCCTTGTAAAGTTGACTATACATACTACCGGGGTATATGGGTTATTTTTTTATGAAAGAAATTGCTTAATGTGGGTCATATTTTGAAAAAAAAACATACATATCCAGAAATTACGCAATTGCATTTTAAAACGAAAATGTTTATTTTTTTCTCAAAAAACGCCATTTTTCAGACCAACATTTTTCTGTAACAAGATTGTTGTTTTGAGTTTAAGCAGCAGACCCTTTCAATTTGTTTCCTTCACTTAGTTTTGAGCAAGATTTTTCTTTAAGTATGCTGTTGCATGTTTCTTTTGGCTTTTCACTATAATTTCCTGCAGATTTTTTTAACCAAAATCATCCTTCAATCCTCAAAGTTACGAATGGTCAATCCCTTATCATTGAATTCGATGGACCATTAAATTTATTTATTTTGTTTTTTCAGATTGTCCAGGTACAGAAAGTAGTGATGCTGGTAAGGTATCTGCATGTGCTGGATGTCCAAATCAACAAATATGTGCAAGTGGTGAGACACAGGCACCTGATCCAGGTAAATATGCAAGGCTTAAAACAATAATGGCTTCACATATTGATTGAGGAATCGATTCTATGCTTTACCTTTAGTAAAATGCTTCTAGGTTTATAATTGTCTCTCAAATTAATGAGATTAGAACAAATATTAGAACTTGTATAAAGTGTTCTCGGCTGAATCAACTTTAGCTGTAGCTCATAGTCTGAACGTATTTACTTACCTGTCGATGGCTTGGCTTGCCGATATGGTGACTTACAGCAAAATGTGTCAAACAAATAAAAGAGAGTTAAAAATGAGTTGTCTTTCACAGTAGTGTGCGATGGAACCACAGCTAAATCAACACTAACCCTAATACATGTATGACACTGGCGGAATTATTTTTTTTAACTGTAAGGCCGTCACTGATCGACTCCTGAGTTGGATGGCGATTTCGCTTTCTAAAACCCTGGGAAAGTGTTTTATGTTTTTCGTGTAATTAGGAGTCCATATGCAAGATATATTTCCACCTGATTGTGATTGACGCATGTCCATACAATAATCGATCAGATTTAATGTCCCAGCATTATCCAGTGGACGGCAATAGTGTAATGTGTAAAAATTATGTCACATAATGTCCACATATGAACAATGGTATTTTAGTACTTTAACACTATATATGGGGTGTATGTCTGTTGATGTTGTCATTGCTGCTAACAATTTCTTGTGTCTAGTTTAGTTCTATGATCAATTAGTGGATACCAGTAATCTTGTCATGTCTGAGCTATCACATACTTGTTGGCGTATCTTAATGTATTATTGCGTCTATTTGAAATAATACAATAATACAAACGTACAACCTCCAAACAAAGGATTGTTTTCTTATATAATAATGTAGCATGTTTTTATTTATAATATTTTTTGTTCAAGCTATTGAAGTAATCAAAGGACGCATGTCATCAGTAAAACATAAAATACTAGTCTTGAGTGGTAAAGGTGGTGTCGGGAAGAGTACTTTCACATCTCATTTAGCCCATGGTATTGCACATGATGACACTAAGCAGGTAAGTTTGCTACCAATGATCAGATCTGCAGCATACAAGTACCAATGCATTAAATCTAGGTTCATAAACAGAAACAATAGATATTCCGCAGTTACCAAATATCATAATCTGCTTCAACAACTCTTTTGCAAACTATTCACTACAAATCACTACACAATTTAATGATTTCACATTTATTAGATGAAATGACCACAGTTAAAAAAAAAACTACTACAAATTTCACAATTTCCCCTTACTCTTGTATTTTGCGAAAATTGGACCTGTGAATTACCCCAACTCCATGTCTTGAGTTTCAGGTTAGCCTAACTCACATATTTGCAGTATTTGAACTTATGCTCTGTTATATTTTCCTGTTTTCACATAATCTTCAGCTAAGACTGTAGTGCTATTACAAATACCAGTATGACATATTCACACA